AGGGATGCGAGGTCAATGGTCTAACGACTACGGCATGCACGACTATGAGTACACCCCCCCCTTCCTTAGCAAAAGGCGCGTAGCTTGAGGGATAGCATGCCTCCATTGGCCCCGGGGATAGTGAGCTATCGTCCCCTGAATTTAAGGACGCAACCCCGCTTGAAGGACGTTGAATTTAGCAGGAAAAACCATGTGCGTCCTTGAAGCGGGGTCGACTGGAGTAAAAATCGTGTCTATTAATTCTGTCCCCGAACTTATGTCTTGCTGAGAGCGGGTGTGGCCAGCGAAAGCACAGCAGTGCAGCTAAGGAACATCTACACTGCTGTAGGGCAATGCGGCTCATGTTATTGGTGTGCTCATCATGTTTTCGCTCGTCATGTGCGTGTTGGCATGGAGCAGCAGCGATCGTCGAGTGCCAAAACAGCAGTACTTCACTCTCTTGTGGTGGGTGGGTGTTCATGAGGTAGCATGTACGTTCGGTGGATAGACCGTCGCTGTCTAGCGCTGGGCACAAGACCATTGCTACCCTCTGTGTCAGTGTAGCTGGCGGAGATGACCGGCGACGTGGGCGCGGGAGGTGTCGGCATTGCGGGGATGTACCAGAACAACCCCCTCTCGCCGGCTGGCGCCGAAGCCTAAACGGCACATGGTTAATGTTCGCGACGCGGCCGGTAGACGCCTTGAGAGCCTTGATGGCGCCACTCGCGTGGTTTATCCCCGCCGTTGAGGTAGTAGCACACGGTGGTCTGTTCGTCGAGGTTGCCGCGGCGCTTCTGAAGCATGCCGCTCTCCAGAAGCGCCGCAGCAAGCTTGACAAACAGGCCACCCTGTGCTTCTACCTCAACGGCGGGTGTAACGACCATCAAGGTGCTCAAGGCGTCCACCTGCCGCGTCGTCTACACCGACGACGTGTCGTTTGTGGCTTCGGCGCTAGCCGGCGAAGGGATTTGATTATGTTTTCCTTGTTGCGCCGACACCTCTCGCGCCCACGCCGCCGGTCATCTCGGTCAGTTTCGGTTCGACGCCGTCGCCGTCGTCTTCGTACATACAGTACAGCTGTCGTCGTGGACAAGTGGACGTAATACGCGACGTGAGCCTGCTCTCTCCCCCGTAGTCATAATGCGGATGCCTTGAGCCTCCTTCTGTTCTCTCTCTCTCTCTCTCCCTCTACGCAAGCTCAAGCTCAACACCTCTTCCGCCAGTAGAATTGCTTATTTCACATGTCGAAAATCGAAGGGAAGACCACGAACAATTTGTTGTTCTTGGCCCGTGTGATACCTCTACTCGTCCCTATGGAGGCAAGACACAGGCGGCGGAGAGCTGCTGCTCGAGCGATGTTATATTGAGGTTTCTCTGAGTCACGCATCTCTAACTCCTTCAATTCTTGTTCTGGTTGCGATTTCTTGAGCTCCTTCTTCTCCTTATCGTATAAAACCCTTCAGCCCTTCTGCGGGCTCTCAGCCGCCATAATCAAGCGCTCTGAACAGGCGGATGCAGCACCTTGCTGATGATGGTGTTCCACAAGCGGAACGACTTTCTCTACCATATCAACCCCAAACCGTCCCTTCAGCTCTGCTGCTCGCACATCCCTCTTGCCGACCTTGATCATGAAACACGTTGACTAAAGGTAGATATATCCTGATCTATCTTCGCAGTTCCCAACCAAGATTCCATCTCTGCTCCGCGATTGACAATCAACGAAACGCGCCTGGTTTGCGTGGGGCAAGCCTCATTGTCCTCCCATGGATTTCGGCTGTCGCCTGGGTAGCCGCTTGCGTCACGATGTTCGCGACGCTGGTGGTGTTTTGGTCGGGGCTTGGTACCCCCTGACTCCAAGGCGAGGGCTGGTTGCCTGTGACTGCTGGGGCGTCCGTGTCTCCCGTCTGCGTGAAGTTGAGCTTGTACCTTATCTTGTGTCCATCGTTGTTGTCTCCCTCTTGCTCTTCCTCTCAGCTCGTCTTCCTCCGTCTGTGCCCCCCCCCCCCCCC